ACCCACCCACCCAGAAGAGTCTGACCTTTTCTCTCGCAGCCTGGAGAACGTCGCTGGAGCAGACACGCTGCAGACTCACATCACCTCGCACTCACCAGCTGCCGCCCCCGTGGTGGGATCTTCATGAGGTTTCCTGGAATTCTCACTTGGAAAACTGGACCGAAGCCTGCCTTGGTGAGCCTGCGCAGCGTCCAGCGTGGGCTCTTTCTCGGGTTCTCTCACAAAGCACTTTCCTCAGTGTTAGCTGAGCGGGTGATGTTCTCAAGGGTTCTTGCAAACAGGGAACTATTTGATTGCATTTGGCACTGTCAGGGTTCTGGTCACAGTCTGCTCTTGGCTTTGTACAGGAAATGACTAACAAAAAAAGAGTCTCAGAAACTGGACCTATGGGAAAAGCAGATTGTTTCCGTGTCAGGTTCTTCTTTCGTTTCATTTTAAAGCAACCCCAATCCCAAAATACTCCTGTCTTTGAACTGGCTGAGCTTTTCTCCTGTCTTTCCAGGGCTGTATCCTTAGGCCCCTGCGCTACAAGCTTGGCGCTGCTGCAAAACTTCCATTTCTGATTCAGATCTAGGTTTGCCACTTGTATACCACCGTTTCACAGCAAGACTAGACCTTCAAATACAGTTTCCAGGAGTATGTTACTGTGTGCATCAAGGAGCTAACTGAATAGTAAGATCTGTGCGTGAACCAGAGCACAGGCAGAGGGCAGAGGGATGACTTAGGATTTCAGGAAAATCTTTTTTTTCCTAAGGAGAGGTGAATCAGTGCTGCTCACTTGGCTTCAGGTCTCTAAAAGTTACGGGTTTCTTCTGAGCTGTCTTCTACAATCCTTTTGCAGTCAGTCAGCAGCCTACAAGCGTTTCCTCAGAGAGGTCCATGGGATTTCTAGAGAGCTGAAGTCAGGTGAGATGGTTCCTACCCGGACTGACTGCGGCGAAGGTCAAATGCCAACAGCTCCTGTTGCATCTGGGAGCAGGGGTGCTCCTGCTGGGAACTGGCACGCGTGTGGGGACCCCAGGACCAAAACCACCTCCTCTCTCCCTCGCTGACTCTGCATTTCTGCCCCCAACTACAGAACCCTCACATCCCCTCACCAAGCCAACCCTTTCAAGCGCAAACAGGTCATGGGGAGGAAAGCATCAAGGTACACCGGCGTAATGCCGTGCGACACAACGCTCACTGCCTGATCCCGCCCTGTGCTCGACGAAAGAGCAGAATTACCCAGGATTTCTCAGCTTCTGCTTTCATGGGCAACATCCTGAGCATGTTCACCTAAAATTTTCATTTCCAACACAAGATTTTGTTTGCATCAGGGTCAGGCTTGTATGTGTTCAGAGGAAACTGCATTCTGTAGATATTACAGCTCTGGTAACAGTTTCTGTGGGGGGGGAAAGGTAATAAAAACATCTGGCAGGCAGAGCTCAGCCTCCTCGAGCTATCTCCTGCGAGACCCTTCCCAGCCTCTATTTCTGCCTCTTTTCTTGGCTCTGCCCTGGCAGTTTGCTCTATGGGCTTCTCGACCCCGTGCACAGACTTGCACTTTCCGACAGCCATCAGCCCCTAGCCGTCTGTCTGTCCATCGTCCTCTGTCCAGCCTGGCACAGTGATAATCACCGGCAGCACTTGCCTCTTTGCCTGTCCCTTCCTGCCTCCTCGGTTAAACCCGCTTGGCAGGGAGAAGGTTTGGCTGCTGCCAGCTCCATCAGCCAGACTGAGGTAGGTTTTCTCCATCAGACTGTGGCACATGAGGACATTAAGCCAGAGGGAGCTGAAAATTTCATTTCTGTCCCTCACCATCATCTCCTCTGGTCCAGGGGGTTTTGAGGATCAAGGCAGTGAGTGGTTGGTGCTTTAGTATCAGGCACCAAGGTCCCAGAAGAGGGTAGAGGTAGGAAGAGTTGGGACATCTCCACACTGGGGAGCAGACAAGGTACAGATGGGGGCTGTGTTAACCCTGCAGAACAGGAGAAGGGATGAGGCAGGACTTTCTGGACCACCTCATTTCAGCATCATAAACCAGCAGGCAGCATGAGAGGATTGTCACAACTAATTTTGAGAACAAGCACGGGCACCCCACGGAGCCAGCAAGGGAAGAAACCGCGATCACCAGAAAGTTACATGAAACTCACTTTTATTAAAATAACTTAAAAATAAGTTTGAGGTGGGAACCAGCCCTGCCCCTGGAAATCTCATGGAGCGTGGCCGTGTCTTGGGGGACGCGTGACCCGTCCTGCTCACCCAGCTGAGCGAGGGCTCTGCTCCCATGGTACCAGCCTGCAGCCATAGGGGTTTAGGCAGCAATTCCCATCACAGGGGTCTCACCCACCTCTTGGGAATCTGCTCTGTCTTCAAAGACCCTCTGAAGAGCCACTTTGACAGATCCCCTGAACCTAGACTTTCCGTAGCTCCCAACCAGGACGTAAATAACCGGATTGATGCTGCTGTTGAAAGAGGCCAGCAACAGGCAGATCTCAAACACAAAATTGATGTAGACAAAGAAGTTGAGGAAGATCTGGACACTGAGCGGGATGCCGAAGAGGAGGAAGAAGAAAACAGTGAGGACGATGACGGTGTACAGCCTGGCCGGGTGGTGTTGCCAAGAGCTACGCCTAAGCTTGATGAAGAGGATCACGTTGGAAACAACCATCAAGGGAGTGAAAAAGCAAAAATTGAGAAAGCACAAGGAGCCAAGAACCATCCAGCAGTGTTCAGAGTGACCCAGGTCACACACAAAGTACACCAGCCCGGCAAGGACGCAGGCGAGGGCCCACAGCAGGCTGCACATGATGGCTGACAGGAGCTTCGGGCGGTGGCATCGGCACCAGAAGGGCCAGAGGACACCCACGCACCTCTCCACGCTGATGGCCGTGAGGAGGTAGAGGCTGGTGCTGTACATGAGCAGAACCATGGAGTGAAAGAGCGGCAGCACCCGCAAAAGCTCTGGTTGAAAGCAGCTGAGCATGGGCACATGATAGATTACAAGGAAAGCCGATGTGCAGAGGAGAAAGCAGGTGTCGGCCATGGCCAG